TTTTGAAGAAAAATCTGCTTTGTCATTGAACCTGAGAAAAACTTTGAAAATAACCATAATGACACAGTCTCCATGCTACAATAATAATGATAGAAGCAAAGTTTTTCGTTGTGGGGACTTATCTTTATAAGTACAATTTGACTGTATTATTTGTGTCCCCTTCAAAAATTGCTCATGAGAAATTTTATATTTATTGTCCCCCCCTACTGTTAAATTAAATTTACGCCCATGTGCTTGCACACCCATTTTAGCTTCTTCTGACAATGGACATGGGTTAGCATGGGTACTCCAGGTCACCTACAGCTATGTAGCTCCATATGCCGCAGGGCTCAGTGCCTTGTGTCACACAGCAGTCCCGTGATCATCATCAAAACCATCTGCCATCTGTGCCATAGTAACCCTTCTATCAGTCAGATGTTATGGCCTTTGTTCACATCTCGCATCAGTGAGTCTTTTTGTGCATTTTCTTCTGCATTCAACATGTGTACTGTGAGTGGCAAATGTGACCTTACCACATATATATAATCTTTACGAAATAGTCACATTGTTTGCTTCAAGTGAGGGTGGTTATGATGTTCTGACTCGTATGTTGTACATATGTAAGTTGTATATTGTAGAATCATTGCTGGTAAAAATGTGTGATTTAGATAAAAATCAGAATGGCTGAAAGGATATTAATCTGGTAGCCCATGTGAATGTACCATCACTTGGGTTGATTGGGGCTCTGCCACTAGGGGGCTCTCTGATTGTACTTATTCAGTACGTCTACCTCCAGGCACGTGGAATGTAGCGGAAAAAATGCTGGTGAGATGTGCACTCCTGCTTTCTCACCAGGCTGTGGGTGTGAGTTCTGCCTTGCTGCCATTTAGCATGCAGCAATTGTGGCTGTATAGTGGCTTGACATTTGGAGGTATTTTAGTGCTCGGATGTCTAGATGTCTTTCTGTGTCATAGGAGAATAGGTGGTGTTGGACATTCCAGGTCCAGAAGCTGCAAATCTAGACCAAGATTTTGTTTCTACCAACCAGTTGAGTATCAAAATTCATAGTCAAAGAGAACTCGACTGGCTGGTAGAAACAAAATCTTGGTCTGGATTCGTAGCTTGGACCTGAAATGTCCAACACTGAGTGAAGCGACCAGTGGATCAGGATGATGTATACCTCTCAATACATAATTTGACTTCATTTGTCCTCCAGCCCAGAACAAAAGCAGAGTTTTCCGATTAAATCGCCATATCTAACATATAACATATCTATGCCCTTGCCTGCAGATGTTGTTTATAACAGGATTTTGCTCAGAATAACCAATCAGTCGAGTCTGTCTCGTTTGCGACCTTCTCAGCTTACGTATGCAGGGAACACTGATGCTGTTGATCATTCAGATTGGAGTGAATAGTGTATTACCAGAACGGGAGCGGTGAAAGTGCCCCATAAGTAGAATAACTGATTTGCAGAGAAGTTGTTTTGATGGTCTTGGCAGCCCTGGGGTTTGCAGTGCTCAGAGATTTGGCGCCGTTGATTGATTTACATTTCTCGGTTTTACCATGGGCTATTAACTGGGTTCGTTATTACTCCTCTGTGCTGGCACTCCCTCATAGAGCCTCGCTCGCTGTGTATCTCTCAGTACCTCTCGGTATCTCTCGATATCTCTCGGTACCTCTCAGTACCTCTCAGTATCTCTCAGTACCTCTCAGTACCTCTCAGTATCTCTCAGTACCTCTCAGTATCTCTCAGTACCTCTCGGACTGCTGTGGCCGTGATCCTGGCCCCATCCAACATTTTTTCTTGTGGTCCAAGGTATCGGCGACTGGCGCTCCTACTGTTTTAGTCTGTTTCCCTAAAAATTTGTTTTTTGTCTGATTCCTGCAGACTCGGGTAATCTCTTTGCATTTCACCCCACTGCCCATCTTGCCCCATTCTTTCTTTCTCTTTCTTTCTTTCTTTCTTTCTTTCTTCCAATCATAAATCTCTTACAGCCGCAGACCCTCAGCATGTGAACTCTACTGTCCCCTAGCCGGTTGAAGCAAGCCCATTCCTTAGAGCTACATCATTTTCACAGTGAATTCACCATGGAATGACACTCATGGCACCCTGTGTCCTGTTTGCACCTCACCCTTTTTGGAGATGTACGATTCGGTGAGCCTACAGCT